CCTGACAGGCCCGTGGTGCCCTTGTTAGGCCTGTGGTGCCCCTGGCAGGCCTCTGGTGCCCTTGCTAGGCCGCTGGTGCCCCTGGCAGGCCTCTAGTGCCCTTGCTAGGCCGCTGGTGCCCCTGGCAGGCCTCTGGTGCCCCTGCGCCCGGAGAGGACTGGTGCCCCTGAAAAGTCTGAAGTGCCCCTCGGCAGGCCCGTCGTGCCCCTGACAGGCCCAAGGTGCCCCTGCGAGGCCGGTGGTGCCCCTCGCAGGCCTCTGGTGCCCCTGGCAGGTCTGTGGTGCCCCTGGCAGGTCTGTGGCGCCCCTGGCAGACCTGTGTTGACTGGTGCCCCTGCTAGGTCGCTGGTGCCCCTCACAGACCTGTGGTGCCGCTGGGCCTTGACAAGCCTGAGATGCCTGGCTATGGCAGGCTCATGGTGCCCCTGAAAGACCAGTGGTGCCCTTGCTAGGCCTGTAGTGCCCCTGACAGGCCTCTGGTGCCCCTGCTACCCCTGCGCCCTGAGAGGACTATGGTGCCCCTGAAAAGCCTGAAGTGCCTCTCGACAGGCCCGTGGTGCCCCTGGGCCCTGACAGGCCCAAGTTACCCCTGCGAGGTCGGTGGTGCTCCTGGCAGGCCTCTGGTGCCCCTGGCAGGTCTGTGGTGCCCCTGGCAGGCCTGTGTTGACTGGTGCTCCTGCTAGGCCGCTGGTGCCCCTCACAGGCCTGCGGTGCCCCTGGAAGGACTGTGGTGCCCCTGCCCCTAGGGGTGCTCATGGGCCCAACAGGCCCGTTGTGCCCCTGACAGGCCTGTCGTGTATACTTGCTAGACCTGTGGTGCCCCTGCTTCCTGGCAGGCCTGTGGTGCCCCTGGCGGGCCTGTGGCGCCCCTACAAGGCCGTAGGTGCCCCTGACAGGTTTGTGGTGTCCCTGGAAGGACTTTGGTGCCCCTGACAAGCCTGAAGTGTCAAGGACAGACCCTTTAGACGCCAGGGTCAAGTTCGTCGGACTGACAACGATTTGCTTACCTGATAACGTTCCTGGTAAGTACTCATTACTCAGCGTCCACAACATATATACACATAGCACATTCATATGTATATACTTGCTTACAATTGGTAAATGTGGTTGTGGCTAAGAGGTAAGATACTGACTAAAAATAAAAAAATAAAAATAAAAAACTGAAAATGGGGGCACCACCAAAATGAAGTGGACGAAATCCGTTGAGTTTTTAATTTTGGGTATAGGTAGGGGCACCACTTCGATTCATGACCCTCCCCTTGGAGTTTTCCTGGATCCGCCCCTGCCTGTGACGTCATTGGTGACCCCGAGATCAATGAAATTTGGTTTCCTGTGACATATTTGGCAGGGCTATCGAACGCCGTTTGAATTTTACGGATCCGTCCAGTAGTTTCGGAGATATGGGGGGAATGCCCCCCCCCCCCCCCACCGCGCGGAAGGTGGCCGGGAGGCCCACCGCCTGCCGGGTTAACCTGATCGATTCAGTTTTAGAAAAACCTCTTTTGAATCGATTCACCAAAAATTTGAGTCATATACAACCCTGGAAATAGCACTTGTTTCCTCTTAGGATGAATGTTATTCATGATTCCTCCTGCCATCGTAGATATTCTTCCAAAAGTACGATCGCTCTATTTTTGCTGTGTTTTAAACGGTTTAACCCGTTGGAGGGGGGGGCAATATGGCCCCTCTTCGTGGTTTTTCCTGAATAGCAAGAAAATGGCGACACGCAGCGCCGCCAAATTTCCAATACCTTCCCGGGCATCAATTTGACACCTTCACACAAAATTTCAAGCCTCATGTCACCTTATGTCAGGAGTTATTTAGGTCAAAGTGAGGTCATGTTCGAGCAAAAATGAGCAAAAAACATGAAATCTTGAAACGCTAACAAAAGCTACAATTAGCAAGAAATTTCGAAGTTCTTTATGTGGTCATGTAGAGAAAATACGTCGCTACAAAACTGCTATCTCGGATTTTCCAAATTTTGTGATTTTGACCCCCCCCCCAAAAAAAAAAATATGTTTTTATATAAAATAGCAAAAAACATGCTTATCGAATTTCGAAAAACCGGAATAAATATGACAGCCCCTACGCTCTTGCATCTACATACCAAATTTTAGATCGATGCCTCCTCTTTTAGCCAAGTTATAGCGAAAAAAATCAAAATTGATGTCAAATTTGAACTCAGTTTTTAGCAATTCAAGACCACGTAGCGCAAAACAAAGACCACCATTTGACTCCCCGTGACGAGCTTCATCGAAACAAAACCCATTTTATGCAAAAATATCAAGTTTAAAAGTTGACCTAAGTTGACATGACCTTGACTTGGCCTTCACCAGAACATAACCTAAACTGGCCCTTTAGGCTGCCTGACCCACATGATCGCATTTTTATGTAAAATGGACCACAAAGCATGTATCACACGACACTTTCGTATTGTGACCCTCAGTGACCTGACCTCTGTGACCTGTCCTGGTATTAGTGACCTCAAATAGCAAATTATGTGTTTTATGGACAATTTCATATCGATGATTTTCAATAATTTGCCTTTTTACACATTCCTTGAAATGCCTGTAAACGGTGAAAATTCGACATTTGACCTGACCTGTGACGTCATCGGTTAGATCGAGGTCAATGAAATTGGGTCAGAAGGTAGATCCCTTTTTGGGCTATCTAACACCGTTCGCTGCTTGTCGCTATGTTGCGTGCTCTCGAGATTCTAGGAAGGGGCAAAATCTCTCCCCCCCCCCCCCCCATCTGCTCGGCAGACCCCAACGGGGTGCGGGTTATTTTCTGCAAATAGCTTAGTCTGTTTTCAAACAGTCTACCATTGTACAGGCCGTTTGTAAACAATATTTAACTAATCCTATATAGGGGAGACCCGGGAGGTATGGGCTGGTTTTGTAAAATGGCAATTTCCGTCCAGTGGGCGGTGGCTAGACCTGGTTTTTCACTCTGTGTGCGTGAAATTGCCTTTCGCCTGTAAAGTGTGCCTGATATTAGGCATCTGGGATTAGCTATTGAGAACTTTTAATAAATCATGCGCTTTTTCGATCCATCAAAATTCACCGGAAGGTATGGGCCGGTGTCATGTTTCATTCTGTTCTCGACATTGAGCACAATACTCGTGGCTGGGATCAACTTTGAGCTCTCTTAGAGCCCAGGTACTATAACGCATAAGCGACCAAAAAGTTACTTCATGGAGATCACTTAGGCACTTTTTTGGTGAACTCATTCACGTTCCATGAAATAAGACAAATGAGTTTTTTTTTTTGTTCGAATGCAATTTGTACTTAAAGGGACAGTATCATCGAAAAAAAAATCCATGTATGGAGCTGATTTTTTTTTTACTAGCATTTCTTATTTTTCTGAATCAGAAAAACATAGTTTGAGGACCGAACTCGGTGAAAAATATTGCAACCACATTTCATTTTCATGATTCATTTTCATGAGCGAACCACCACTATACAAGCATGGCCGCCAGTTTGGAAGCATGCAAAATTACTACAGAACTGGCGCAGATAATACATTATTGACGCTATGCTTACGCGGTCGTTCTTCTGATTGAGTTGTCCTTAGGGAGAGGTAGCCTTAGGTATTGCCTATAAAAATATAACGTGATAATTGGAGGGAGTGGCAATTGGACGTGACAATTGACAATGGGAGAAAATATCACGTGACAATCACGTGATAAACGTCATACATTGGAGGGAGATTGTGATTCAAGCTGGAGGAATTCCTTTGTTGAGCCGCTAGAATCCGAAGGAAACAGCGGAAATTGCCTACGACTATTTAATGAATTTAACGGTGATGAATAAGTGCGAAAAACGTTTTGGCTTTATAAAATTTGATGAAATGACCAGGGTAAAAGTTTTATTACTGGCGGTGAATTCAAAACGGCGCAAACATTTAAACAGTGAAGATAGTGAAGCACGATTCAAAGTGTGGTACACCTTTCGTACTTTGAGCGGCGATAGCGGGATAACGGTGTGGAGCTTCGAGGATCGGTCTTCAGTTCCCGGACCAGAAAGGTGGGGCCTATGCAATGTCAAATTTCATCAAAATGGTGATACTGTCCCTTTAAATTTTTTACCTTGCGCGACAAAAATAAAACATGTTGAAGAGGACATAAAATGAAAGCATCATTTTATTGATTTAGGATCACAGGGGGTGGGTGGCCCGAACCTCCCGGTTAGGATGCCAGAATGCACGTAGCATCTCAGCTCGTAATCTTGCAAGAAAACTTTAAATTGTCTACCTAGTCTTCATGTACATGTTTTAAACCTAATGTTAGAGTTTGGAAATCACGTGGGTTCCATAACGAAATGGCTGCTACCAGTTTACGCGGTCAAATGTGTAAAAATACGCATCACTTCAAAACTGCGATTGCCCATTATACCTCCCGGGGGCCCATACGTCCCGGGCCTCCCCTATGTATAATTCGATACGGAGAAGCCAATGTACTGTCACCCGTGGAAAAAGCAGTGCCTTAAGTGTCGAATCAATATACAAGTCACATCTGATTAAGACGGTTGATAGGGGTTATTGCTTACGCATTGGATTTCCCAGGGAAGAGGCGCCCCCAAAGGTTGCGATGGCGCCCCCTGAAGCTGCTTTGCCACCCTAGTAAAATTTCTTTAAAATAGGCCCTGGGTCTGTGACGTCATCGGTTGCACCCAGAAAAATGAAATTTGGTCACATGGTTGTTCCCAGGTGGCGCTATCGAACGTAGTTTGACTTGAAAAACGGTCAATAGCTCCGAAATATTAGGGGGGCCGAAATCCTCCCCCCCCCCAACACGTTGCGGGGTTTGGGAATAGCCCAACGGGGCGCGGGTTAACCATAGTGAATGACAAAAAAAAAAATGACAGGTGTATTTGGTGTTTTTGTCCGCACTGTTGCTTGGTCGGCTAGCGCTAATTGTGGTCTAGTTGATGTGTCGCCGGCGATGACTGTCTAGGTGTGGGTCGTTGACGTCGCGTTTCCCCACCGTGTTCCCGCAGAAGCACAACATTACCGTCAGCATGGACCAGCCGCTCCTCCTGTCCAACCCCAAGCGACGCGAGATGCGCCAGGGCCAAACTGAGCCGTTCTGGCTGGTGCCGGAGCTGTGCAACATGACGGGCCTCTCTGACGAAATGCGAAACAACAACAACCTGATGAAAGAGCTGTCTGGTTTCCTGAACATGCCACCCCAACAGCGGGCCCAGAAGCTGCACCAGTTCAGCACCCGGCTCAACAGCAGCGAAGATGTGAAAAGTCTGCTCAGCTTCTGGGGCCTCAAGTTCTCCAGGGAGCTACTGAAGGTGAACGGTCGCGTCCTGCCGAACGAAAAGGTCAAAACCAACCGGGAGACTGAGGCACGCGATGGCTCCTGGAATGACGCCGTCAAAAGTGAGTGTGCGGCTCAACGGTAGGCCGTACTCAATGTCTGCATATGTCTGCAATGCAATGCAATGTCGCAATGTCTGCATATGAACGTGTCAGCCGGGCTGGCGGACCACCGTCTGTCCATAGTCCGGGTGGACGAACCACTGCACAGTAGGCGTTTTGGCCGGGTTAGGCTCTTGAAAAAACACGCTTTGTGTTTATGAAAACAAAAGGCGTACCAATCAGGGTTTGCCATTTCCAGGCTGCGCCTGGTTTAACCCTCGCCGGACCGGGAGAGTTGATGCACTCCCCGCCCCCGCCCCCGCCCCCTAAGGTTATTTGCAAATAGCGTGCATGGATCGTCGGAAAGTCATTTCATCCACAAAATAAACGTAACATATTCGAAAGCTGACGGTGAGCTGATTTCAGGAATGTAATTCTTATCAAAATCGTTCGATGGCCTTTTTAAAAATTGCGTGTTTGTAAAAACGTAATAATTTTCCCAAGTCAGTAGGCGGAACTATGGTCAAGCGTGCCCATTTTTGGGAACGCATTTTCGTTCCCATGTTTGGGAACGATAAATCCAAATATGGGAACGCCATGTAGGCATTATTTAAATCAAGAAGAAGAACCGTGAAAGGACGTCCAAAAAAATGTAAAATGATCGTGAACCGCCTGACATTTGTCTCAATATTGTTGGGAAAGAGTTTGATATTGTAAGGCCCATCGTAGTTTCAAATCGTTCCTCTATTTCTAAAGCAGTCCACCATCCGGGCCGCGTGCCCAAATTTGGGAACGCTCTCGTACACTGGCGCTGCAAGAGTTCCTTATGGGAACGGCGTACCCAAAATTGGGGACGATTTCACCGACGCCTTTCACGGGCTCTTCATTAACAAGCATCACGTCCAACGCCGCAGGTTATTGTTAACGCAACAATCATAAGATGACCTTTCCGGCAAGACCGCCGCATGTTTCGCCAGGTCTTCTGCGCTCTTATTCCCGTCGATCCCACAGCGGGCACGCCCCTCTCTGCAGGATTAAGTACTTCACAACGATCAGCGATGTTCAACAAGGTCTTCCATACCATATATCCACCGTCCGCGCCGAGGGTGGAGGCATATCAAGCACCTGTTTACCACTGATAGTTGACGAGCACAAGTAAGCAAAAAAAAAAATGGGAACGCTGAATATGTTTGACTCTCAAAACACCTAGTCCCAATAAAAATCTAGTTTTTTTCTTTTTTAACCCGCGCCCCAGTGGCGGTCTCAACCAACTTCGCCCTAGTGGGGGGGGGGGGGCATATGTTACCACCCACCTCTAACTCAAAAACTAAGAGGGCTAGAAAGACGCGGTAAAAAGCAGTCGATAGCTCTCGATGCGTACGTTTGAAATTATTTCGGCCATTTTTCATCTTAGAGCAATATTGGGGTCACCAGTGGTCATCAAAGGTCAAAATTTGCGAATAGTCATTATATTTTTCAGAAAACATGCCATTATCTCAGGAACTATGATAGCTAAAAACAAAACGCTGGGAAAAGCAATCGATAGCTTTTGAACTCTTCTTTTGATAAGGTCACAGCAATAATGACCTCAGGTCAACGGTTTAGCCTCCAGAGGGCAAAAACCCCAAAAATAGCTGTTTTTACAAAAAAAATGTTTTTCAACAATAACTTGACTAAAAAGAACTAGGACATTTCTATTGCCAGAATCGTGTTCCTCTCGCCGAGGCGCGTCGAATAAACTATAATTTGACCTTGAAGGGTCAACTTCAAAATTTGACCTCAGGTCAAGGTCATGACCTGACCGTAAAAGGTCATGTTGCATATCAGTCGACGCGTCTCGGCAAGACAAACACAATGAGGCCAACCCCAGCGTTCTATATCTTTCCAATCGAGAGTTATTGGCAAAAAGCTGTTTGTAGCCTCAAATGACCTCGGATGACCTTTCTAAAGGCTATCAGCAAAAAGACACCTTGGTCGTCACGGGTGGTCCAAATCATTGTGATTCGGAAATATTTGAACTGTTCCTATGCGTACACACGGATCTAGAGGCATTTTCGTTTTTCTCCATTGACTTATAATGAAAAGGGCACGACACTGACCTGACCTTAGGTCACGCGTATAAAAAATCCGAGATATACAAATTGTGGGCACCCATCACATCATGCAATCCACCAAGTTTAAAACCTCTGACAAAACACTGCAGGCTGGACATGATTGCAAACTTTTTTAGGCTTGGTCAGTTAACTTGACCTGGTGACCTGACCTGACATGACCTGGGGTCAAAAATTTCACATATTATCCAAAATTGATGTGCAAAAAGCTACACCAAGCGGCGCGCCGCGGTTTTTTATTCACGCGCAAAAAAAAAAACGCGACAGGATGGTAACATATGCCCCCCCCCCTCCCCCCAGTGGAGCGGAGGTTAATGAGTGTAAGTGGCAAAAAGCCTGTTAGGATGGGCACGAGAAATGATCGAAATCAGCATAAAAATTATAAATAAGCCACACAGAGCGACCTATATAAAAGAAATTCCCCCAAAACGATGATGCTTAGAAAAACCGAAGACAAAAACCACGCTCATAACGCTCCTCAAAAACAACGCAAAACAGCTAGAATCCAAATAAAATATGTCTTTCAGGGCTTATGGAATACAGCTGAATAATTTTCAACCTCTTAAACTGAGTTTCCAACAGTAGTTCGGTAAAATCACTCACGTTCCACGCGATCGTCCGCCCCGACACCAAATGTCAACAAAATTACCGCGTGACCGCCCGCGTGTTTGCTTGCGTATGTCAGCATCTGGTGTCGCTAGTATGAAACTTCATAATCAGGCGAAAATTATTAAATCTGACCTCAAAATGTAAAAAACGCTTCATTTTCCTTAAAATTGCATGTTAAATGTAGTGTAACCCATGTTTTCACCATTCTGTCGTTAAACAGAAAAAAAAGATATTTAAAATATCATTCAACGGTCAATTTCCTTGTTCAACGGTCAGATTAAAGATAATTTTATGGAGATTCAGTATATGAATACTGCATGGGGTAGCGGGCAACAGTAAAAATTATTGCCCAATGTGACGTCACTGTAGCCCGAGGGTGAAGACCGAAACATGCTTTATTGCCCGAGGCGTAGCCGAGGGCAATAATGCTTGTTGAGGTCTTCACCCGAGGGCTACAGTGCGTCACAGAGGGCAATAATTTTTACTTATTGCCCGCTACCTCATGCAGTATTCATTTTATTACATGGCCCACCTCGTCTCGTATTACCTATTCGTAGTAACTTTATTTATTATCGTTTAGCTGTATGACAAAACGGGTTAGTATAATAACACACAATTTGTTTGAATCTCAATGATGAATGTATTTCATGGCATCACACATTTCTCATCACATCACATCAAACACTTTCTGCTGGAGCCTGCCATTGGCGAGGAGTAGTTTTGCGTGTAAATATTCAGTTTTTCTCTGTCGCCTCGGCTTATCGGTTCCTTGTGGTCAACTGATCCTCGCCCATCCTTGCCCATCCTTTTTAGACAACTGCATTGCGACCTGGAAAGCCTCTGTAGGTACTCAAAGGAAAACTTCCTACTTCACTTGTCTTTTCCTAGTTGGTTGATGATGAACTGTTTGATTCCGTACTTCAGTGAGTGTAGACTTTTCGTTTTTTTTTTTTTTCTTTCTCCATCTATGCGCTTGACATTAGGGAAAAACTCCTTAGCAGTGTCGTCGAGAGTAGCATTACTGTACTGTAGGTCTTCCAGCGTTAGACCTTTAGCTGTTAAAAATTCCATGGAATATGTCTCCCGACGATTTTATCACCCTTTGCGTACCTTTAGCCCTGCGTGAAAAAAAGGAGCTCATCTAATTCACTTGGTTCAAATAAATGAAAACGAGGCAGCGCTGTCATAACTGCACATATAGGTACGTATGATCCTTCAGCAATGACGTCCACCAACTGAATGAGGATGAGGTGAAGAACCTAAACCCTAAATTTCAAAGTTCTGAATGTTTTTTAAAGCACGCGCAAAGTACTGTTGCCCGTTGTCATGGTATCATTAACAAAAATACGTCATCCTTACGTCATCAAAAGAAAATAAAACGTGAAAATTGCAGGTCAACAGTCAAAATTATTACACACCCAGTTAACATACGAGCCATGTAATAACTAATAGATACTTTAATTAGCATGCACTTTTTTGAGACGTGATGCACAAATGAGTTTTAGTGGGCGAACGGCCGAAAAATTGCCTTCCGTTCTCATAAATGGGAACGCCCGTTCCCATATTTGGGAACTCCGTTCCCAAAAATGGGAACGTTTCTATATTTGGGTAAACCTTCGGATACTCATGACCATAGTTCCGCCTACTGAAGTGCCATAGGAGCCAATCACCGGGGAATCGTGCCCCCCCCCCCCCCCCTCCCCTCCCGGCCGTCCGCCGCGTTATGAAAAAGGCCTTGGCCTGGCGAGGGTTCAAGCGGTTTAAACCATGGTGAAGTGATTTTTAAAGCTGTGACAGGATGTTTAGTTTTTGTCATGAAAAGAACATTTCGCATTACTTTTTCTTTGAAAATTCACTAGCCTAAAAACTGGCTGAATGTTTTGCATGGTAAAAAGGAAATACGCTATGACAATGCTGAATGTCCAGCAAACCGGCCAGCTTAACCAGACTTTTAAATGCTATTGCCCTGATGCCATGATTGCAGAAATGTGTCGTCAATTTTTAGATGCATCGTTTTCTATAGAAAAGCGGCCGAACCAACCCATCCTCCCCTACAGTCACTGACAGTGAAACCTCGCTTACTTTCGTTAGTGTGCGGGCATTGAGCGCAGCTGGATGGAGCAAAAGCATTTATAAGAAAAAGTAAATCAAAATATATTGTAAATCTAGCAGAACAATGAATTTTCCATACAGGCATCCTGAATAACTTCTGACCACTTTAGTCCGGGCGCCCAAAAACCCCTGAATAACTTCGATTGCTATGTGGATCATTTAACCCGGCAGGCGGTGGGCCTCCCGGCCACCTTCCGCGCGGTGCGGGGGCACTTCCCCCCCCCCCCCCTTTACGTGTTCCCAAATATCTATAAAATGCCTGGGTGTATCAAAACAAAGCTTAGCACATAACAAGATGAGTACGAAGGGCATATGTGTACAAAATTTTGTGTTTCTCAGATGTCAGGATAGGTCACGGCGAGGTCAGAAGTCCAATCTTAGGATCGGGTTTTGCCGTATCAGTGTAATGGGTTGCCAGAAATCGTTTAGATGATCTAATATTATATTTACGTCAGCAGACACTCCACAACACGGTGGCTATTACGTGTCAATTGTCAGTGAATCAGTGAATAAAACGGTTGGGGAAGTCGAAAGGTACACGGCAAACAACAATCATCCGCCGAAACAGCACAAACACTCACGCACAATCACTCCAAATAAAAGAAACGTTTCGCTGCCGGTTTAAAAGCCGCTGGCTCGAGCCGTGTCACGTCACTGGGCATAGAGTTTAAAAGCGAGGCTGCTCGGTACGCAAACCCTCGCCGCCCAACCGCTGTTGTTGCGCACAGGGAAATCTTTAGCATAAAATGGAGACTATTTGTACTAAACTACGGCTATGCAGATATGTGAGTCATAGTAAGTGTTGACCTGACCTGGTATTTGGAGCACTATTTTAAGACAAAAATTTGACAACCGACCTAACTTGACGTCACTGTGACCTGACCTGACCTTGTGCACAACCGAAATTTTGAACATACATGCGCCGAATATTAATTTTTGAGAATATTTGTTCTCTCAATAATGTGCTTTTGACGTTCAGCTTTCACGGAAGCTCGAAAAACCGTGCCTGTCATTTCAAGAATGTCTGGGATTGTGTGTGCCAAACAAAAATTGAAGAGGGCAAGTGAACGATTTTGATAGAAATTATATTTTGGGGATCAGCTCACTGTCAGCTTTTGAATGGTATATTTGTTTTGTGGGTTAAATTACTTTCTGACGAACCACCCCCCCCCCCCCAGGGCCGGCGCGGCGGCTTCGAGCACCGGCCTAGCGCGGGTTAACCCGTGCCCTGATGGGGGAGGTGCTAAACCCCCCCCCCCCCGCAGTTTTTTCATGAATATCTTGTAGACGGTCTACGGCGCCGCTTTTCTTTTCGTATACCTTTTTTACACATGCAGTGAAATTTCAGACCGAAGTCTCGAGGTCCGTTCCAGCATAGAAAGCATGCAAACTTTGAACTTCGATAGGTTTCGAGAAATCGAGAAGCTACACTGGCCGAATCGCCCGCTGTGCACTGCCCGTCCGTGTGGCAGGGTGGAAAAAAAAGAATATTCACGAGACGCTTGCAAAACAAAAACGGCTGCACGTTCTCGTACTCGACTTTGAAAAGGTTCAGTAATCCCGACAGGGTACCTCCAATGTAAGCCACTAGGGGCTGATGGAATGTGCGATGCTGAGTGGCGTGTGTGCGTGTGACAGGTGCCCGCTTTCTGTCCACAGCCGGCGTCAGCTCCTACGTCAACCTGTCGCGCTGGCTGCTGTTTTACACGGCGCGCACACAGGAGCAGGCCGCCAAATGCCTGACCAGCGTCAAGAACGTGGCGCGCAACTTCGGCATGATGATTGACGAGCCGCGCAAGATCCTGGTGAGCGAGGACCGCGTCCAGGGCTACGTGCAGGCCATCGAGCAGAACTTTTCGCCGGAGGCGCAGCTAGTGATGTGCATCATCCCCAGCAAAGACAAGACCAAGTATGACGCCATCAAGCAGCTGCTGTGTCTGCGCCGTCCGGTGCCCTCCCAGGTGGTCACGGCCCGGCTCATCCAGACCAACAAGAACACGCTCGGCGTGGCCACAAAGATCGCGCTGCAGATGAACTGTAAACTGGGTGGCGTCCCCTGGGAAGTGAAGATCCCCATGAGCGGATCGATGATCGTCGGCTATGACACGTATCACGAGTCTCAGCACAAGGGCGCCAGCGCCGGCGCCTGGGTGGCCAGTATGAACGCCAACGCCAGCAAGTACTACTCGCTGGCCACCATCCACAAGGACAAGGAGGAGATCTGCTCGCACATGCAGAGCAACATGATGCGTGAGTGCGGGTCCTTATTGGAATGCCCTGCCTTGTCCCTTTCCCTGTCTGCTGCTCGTACAGCGAAACACTGCTGGCCGTTTTTTTTTATAAAGTTAGTCCGAACCTTTTGAATGGAAGGATTCACAAGGGCAGAGCTCCCGCTCAGCGAAGCTTGTTGCGTTGACCCCGCCCTCTACCCTCCGATCGCGCAATTCCGGTTCTATGGCAGAATTTGGAGTCCAAAGTTTAACGTGCGCACAAAGCCGCGCACGGCCGGTCCCCTCAATGACTTCGCCTGGCTATGGCCTGCCACCAACCGCAACCATACCTGTCAGGAGGCCCATAAATGTCAAGCGCCCGTCACGCTTCGAACACGGACTGTGGTAACCGGGAACGCGTGCTCTTACCACGCGGAGTCCAACGCTCTACCGACTGAGCTACGGGACCGTTTAGTAGGGTTGTTATAAAAAACGAATTTTTGAAAAGTAGGGCTCATGGCTCGTGTGGTACAGTATTCTTAGCTGAGTTTAAGGGTGCCCTTTTTACCGAAAACTATTCAGTGACAGTGAGTCCTATTCAGTGAGTCCCGTAAACACGCCGTCCCGTAAACAGTCTGCGTAAACACGCCGCTGGCGGCTCTCCCCACTGTTGACCTCGGCCTTGAATTGCTGGTGGCCCGTCAGGGTCAGGGACGGACGCCCAGCGGCCACGTAGCGGCGCAGCCAGCTGGGGCATTCCATGATAGATCGTACCACTTTTTTCCAATTTGACACCCTCATCTCTCGGAATTTGACGAGAATTGGTCTCAGGGTAAGCCCCTTTCAGGCTTATCAGATAAGTATTTTTTGAGTTATGGTGTATAACATTTTTTGGATCTTGCTTTGCAGCGCTAAGTTTGGCGGGCTGTAACTCTAAGACGGATTATTCAAATGCCAAATGTTATATAACATTGAACTTGCAATGAAACAGAGATTAATATGTATTTTTTAAATTTCGAAAAATACGCTATTTTTGATATATGACATATCGAGTTTTCTTTCATTTGTATTTTTTGGACTTTTGGACCAATTTTTTTTGAATTTTTATTTCTTTAAAAAAAATATTTGGCTCATTGTTAAGAAGTATGCAAAAAATTAGGAAGGTGTTCTTTTTACAAATGTATTTATTTTACGTCACGATAACGGTTTCGAATAGTGATTTTGGGAGGGGAGCTTACAAATTGCGTGGTAAAGCTGCCTAGTGACATCACGGGTTACTGAAATTTCAATTCAAGCCTGAGTCATCTGAAAAAAGTGAAAAGAGGGTTTATCCAACCCTCTTTCCTATAAGCGCGAGGGTGAAAAAGGCTGTTTGGTTCTGACATTGTTTTGCACGCCAATGACCATAGCTGTCCGAGATGAAAGTTACAGGACGCATACATGGTGTCCTCCAGAGGTCTCACAACTTGTAGGGGAGAGTGGGGAAAGATGCCCAGGGTTTTGTTACGTCATATATTATTCGAAAATGACGATGGGAAAGCAAAAACTTGGAGTTTCAACGGAAGCCGACATCATTTTTCTCCAAAAATATCACTTTCGTGCCTGAAATATTATAACTTTTTTTGCTATTAAGCATTTTCCTGAAGAAGTGAAAGGGGACATCTTACCCCACAGGGTGGGAAAGACGCCCCCTGGCGTTGGGAAAGATGCCCCCTGCACTATAAGTGACATAAATGGGCACGTGAATCGCCTGAACGAATCAGTAGTCCCTTCGAGCCTGCAGTAGACACTAAACGTCATCATAAGGGCCCTCAAAAGTAGTCGTAAGGGGCTTCAGAGGTCATCGTTAGGGCCATCGTAGTCCAGCGCGGCCAAACAAGCCTCCGTGGTGGCGTTCGGAGACCACTGTGGGGCTCTTATAGGTCTTCATGATGCTTGAGGGCCCTCGAGCCCATCGTGGGGACCTCCGATGCCAGCGCGGCCCGTGGGGTCAACGTGGGAGCCCTCAAAGGATGTCGTGAGGGGCCTTGGAGCCAATAATGAGGCCCACAGAGGCCGTCGTGAGGGCTCTCAGAGTCAGATGCCGCCCAAAAAGTCGCTATGTGGGCCGAGAGACCGGCATGGGGAGCACCCGACCGTACTGGACTCTCAATAGTCCCAGATCGGCTTTTGTCTACATCACAAGTATGTAATAAATGATTTGACGGGCTGTTTGAAGGACAGCCTACGGATTTAGGGGGCGTCTTTCCCCATCAGGACAGGGGGCATCTTTTTTTACAAGTTTATTTTTATTTACACCAAAACAGGTACATTTAACAGCACAATAAAATGATGCGGCGAGACATCATGCACGGGTGAACCAGATCAGAAGGGCGGGGCAGCGGGTCTAGGTCGGGGCGGACGCATATCAGGGGCGCCGCCTGGCCGTTGACGCCGTTGTGGCCGTTCTCCTGCTTGGACCGCTTCGCCTCGTCGTCGGCTGACGCATCCGAGGGACGCCGGGCCCGCTGTCGCCGCCGCAGCCGGCACCCGGCGGCGGCCGTCCGTCGTGGACCATCGGCAGTGCGCCGGCCGTCCGGCCCTGCCGCTCCCGTCGGAAAACGGCGTTGTCTCGTTCCACGGCAGCTCGCAGCGGGCCAGGCAGGGCGGCCAGCGCCGACAAGCCGCCCGCCTGCCACCGCTGTATCGGTCAGCCGGTACAGCAGCGTGTAGGCTGCCTCGGTGGAGCGGCGCGGTAAGCCCAGCGCGGTGGCCGCCGGCACCGGCACCGCTGACGTATCGTCCAGCCGCCACCAGCCGGTATCGTCCATCCCATCAATACCACCGCCACCGGAGGCGCGACAGAATGAGAAATAGTGGCCAGCGTCCAGCGAATGGCCCGCGTGGACTATCACTGCATACAGCCGGTACTGGGCGGGCGGGCCGGTGGCTAGCGGCACTGTCAGCCACTCGGTGAGCTCCACAGGGGTGAGAACCTTGGTGAGAAACAGCGTGCACCGGTGCGCCGGTCAACCGCGAACCTCATCAAGGAGACGACCAGGTTGGCTGGCGGAGAGAGCAGTCGCAGCTGGCGATCGGCGTCCCGCAGGCCGGTGCACTTGGTACAGTAATACTGGTTATCACCGCACAGTCGTTCCGGCGTCAGGTAGTCGAGCAGCAGCTGCGATACGGTTAGCTCGATCTCTGTCTGGTTGTCCGTCGGTGGCGTGCCCCGCCAACCGACCGGCCGCGGCGCGGGGCCGAACGCCGGCGCAGTTTCGGCTCCCCCGGCGCCCGCGGCAGCTGCCGTCAGTGACCGTGTCACCGACTCCGGCAGAGCCAGGTGCAGGTCCGTCACGCTGTTCTGGTGGCGCGAAGCGCCGCCGCACGTGAGACAGGTGAACGTAGTCTCAGCCCGTCCGGTCAGTAGCCGACGGACCAGGCCGGCGGGCGGCTCCTCAGCTCCGGCGTCGCCAGTACCGTGCTCACGCACCACCTCGCCCTGCGCCTGGCCGTCCGGATCAGTCTGCTGCGTCCCGCCGGTGTCCGGTGACTCTGTGGGCTCCCCCTCCGCGGCAGTCCGCTCCGCCCTGTCTCCGGCCGGCTCTGCCATCACCACATCGGGGGCATCTTACCCCAAGGTACCGAAGTAACATTAAATCAGTACAATTTGTTAGCCATAAAACTACACCCTGAAACAAACTGTTTGGGACACAGTACACGCATGCTAATGTATCACGACTATAGCAAGGGACGCAAAAATTATTTACCTTCTTTGATATTTACAATGTTTTGACACCAAAATATTTTTTGAAAGCAGCAAATAAAAAACATGCAATCATCAGCCAGCCGTTGCCCAACTGAGCTTCGCAATTTTTTTTTGTGCAGTTAACAAGGCAGGCTTCCGCTTTACGCTAAGAACATTAATTTCCAGGTCCGATTCTTTGTTTCGCCGCTAGAGGGGGTGGGGCGTCTTTCCCACCCTGGGCATCTTACCCCACTCTCCCCTATATCTGGGAATTTTTTAAGGTAACATGAGGTCAGGTCGGTCACGTGACATTGCTGTCATAAGTCAATGGGGAAATATAAAAACTGTTATTTTGGCGCCGAGAATGTTCTAAAACTATCTCACGTACATGGCATCGTGATTTCATGCACTCCTTGCAAAGTCCAATGCTTCACTTCTGCATTGTTAACCTTGCGTGACGTCATTTATGACGTCACTAGGGTCGCACGAGTTTTTCGTCAATAACTACCGATCAAATGAAGCTAGAGAGTCGGGAAAGCCACCAATGGACTCGGGAAGACCTTCCGAATCGAATGATATGCGGTGATACCCTTTGCCCAGCTTCGTGACCTGAGGGGATCTGACCTGACCTTGACCCGAGGTCAACTACTTAAGTTGACCTCACCCTAGCAAAAAGTACCTATACCATTCGATGCGCCTGAGCTAGCCGATGCTGCCTGAGCTCGATGCGCCTGTCACTTTTGTAATTGTTGCAATATCTCGGTAACTACCTGGCCGATTGCGCTGAAAGTTGGCATGTAGGTAGACACCCACTAGGCAATGCATATCCATGTGCCAGAGTTTGGGTGCTGCTGCACGTGCGCACGTGCAGGGGTCGATTCCAGATCTCGAGAACGACTGGACCGATGGCGCTCAAATTTTGCACATGGTTAGGGACCGGTTAGTAGGGTGCCGTGCAAAAGTCAGTTGGGACCCATTTTGCACGTGCAGGGTGCCGCTTCCAGATCTCGAGAACGGCTGGGCCGATTGTGCTCAAATTTGGCACATCGCTAGAGACCGGTTAGTAGGGTGCCGTGCACAAGTCAGCTGGAGGTACCTCGTCGAAATTTCGCACGTGCAAGGCTCACCCTCTCGCTCGCTCCGTTAGTCGCCCCAAAAGGCGTTATACTGGTTTTATGCAGTTCTGTGCCTAAATGCAAATGGCCTCCGCCATCAAGGCTGCCATTGCGGAAGAGATGACACGTGACATGTGTCAATGCTTCCGTAAAATTATGGACATTTTACTTAGCTTTCATCGAGATATCATTACAGTG